CAGGGCGGGAAGCTTTCCCGGCTTAGCCACTCGCGCCCTGATATTTTTTCTCTCTTCCTTTCTTTCTAATAATTCCTATCAGTACATACTGATTCTCCATATGTAAGAACAATGTACTAAAATTTTCATACACTTTAAGTATCTCAAACCAGAAATTGGTGTACAAAGTTAACTGTCTCACGTAGACTAATAAATTAATTTCTCTAAAAAAAATTAAAATTCCGCACTAACATCCCGCGACGGCTCTCAATGCCTTTCTATTATATTATGTGATAGCTATCATTTGAGCCTTTCCTTTATATGTGTTAGATTGTTAATTAAAAATGTATATTTTTGTTCATTTTACATTATGTTGTAATTTTTCGTAAATTGTACTCTAAAATTCAAGATTACAATTTGCATACTTTCTTGCGACGGTTCATAACTATAGTCTTCTCAAATTATAGATAAAAAGATTGTTTTTACTGTTTAGCTTGCATTCGTATTTAATATGCGAGTATTTTTGCATCTATTATAGTTTACGTGTAAACGCCCAACCCTGGCTTTTAATATTCAAAATAAGTTATTGATCATTACTGTATGAAATATCTATAAGAGTTTATCATCTTTTTAAATATTGACAAAAATGCAACATTTTATTTACCCACGCGCACGCGCGCACACACACACACACACACACACACACAAAATTATAGAAGTAATTTATTAAAATAATTCAAATATACATTTTCAAATTACATAGGTTATTGAAAATAACTCATCTTTTGCTAAATAAACTGTAAATGCAAAAATAAATGCTACAATACATGTATTTACAATACGTGTGTATTTATATTTCAAATCTAATTGATATACATAATCATGTTTTACAAGTATGCATTACCGACACTTTGTAGATATAGCACATATCGGAACCAAAAAGTTGTGGACATAGCACGGAAGAGACCCAAAAGATCGTGGACATTACCTACGGGATTCGTGGACATTGGCTACGTAGTTCAATGTGCACGTTTTGTGCACATAGAGGCGCTAGCCCACAGAAACACGAAAAATGCGGGCATGTCCACTTTCAGTCTTCTCTCTGACAAAACCTGGCGACGGACTGTCACCCCCGTGATCACATCCAGCAACGAATCTGCTGACGTCACGTGGGCGCTCGGTTTTTGGTTTGTAGAAGCAAGCGGACTTATGTTTTGCGTTCTCCTTTCCATTAAGCCTAAGCCGGCAACGATGTTGTGCGTTTCTTGGCTGTCAAGACTTTAGCAGCGTATAACAGCAAAAATGCTTTTATTTACAGCCTTCATAAAACGTATGATATTTATATTAATGAAATATTTAACATCATGTATCTATAGAATATAATTTTTCACATTAATGTATAAAATAAGAATAAACTGATAAATAAAAACTGAATAAATAAAAATTATATATCGTTAATAAATTGTATAATTTTAGTAGAAAAATTTTTCCTATAAAAATATATTAACTTGAGTTAACTGCGACAAAAATAAGCTTTAAGAATATTTAATATATGTAATGTATATTATTAATTTATTTATGTATTCTAATTTTATACATTAACAAGAAAAATTATTTTATAAATGGATAATATTAAATTATTTAATTTATATAAATATTATCTTTTGTAAATGGTATTCGCAAATCTTAGCTAGAAATATTTACATGCAGAACGAGTAGAGAATGGATTGACGACCCTTTTTTTGTGCACAAGTGCATATATATATCCAGTGTGCAATAACAGTTTTCTAATAAAGCTTCTGTGTATTTCTTTACATTAATCTATATTTTTCTAGAAACGTTTACGTGCAAAGGTATTATGCTAAAATGATCTAAAACTGAATACTTAATAAGACTTTTCATATTGTATATAAAAGAGTGTTATAAAATGTATTTTAAAATATTAATATATTTTCTTCTTAATTATTTTACACAAAATACTTTGGCATAGAGTAACGGGAAGAGTTGATTGATATAAAAGAAACATATTTTTACTTAAAAAAATATTTATGACTATCTTATCTAACAGAATTGTTGCAAATTACAAGGATACAAAATTAGACAATTACGTTCAAAACTTGACGTCATTATTACGTATTAGTCATTTCTCAACTTCGATTACAAGTGTGATGTCATTTGCAGACAAGATACTTATTACACCTCAGTAAAAATAATACAAAGCTATTTTTCTTGTGTCATATAAAAATACTATTTAATTTATTTTAAACATTATTATTACGTATTAGATGTTGAGGGATCAGCTACATCATTAACATCTGCAGCATGTAGATTAAAATTACTTTTCTTAGGACAATGTGTGTATAAGTGGTCTGTCGACGTGAGAGATAAATGTTTTGCATTATCCTCCATGTTTAAAATAATTTTTTTTCTTTCTTTCTTTCTTTCTTTCTTCATCACACAGTCCGTCTCAACTGGACACAACACTTTTGAAATAATATTTTTACATTTTGTTCGATTCATAGTCATACTTTTTAACATTTTAGAATCTTTTCCTATTTGTTGAAAAAAGTAAAGAATATCTGTTGCCGTTTTATACGAAATATTTTTATCAGCGATCAATGCGGCATATCGAATTTCTGCTGATTTTTTTCGCTCTTCAAACATCAAAAGTGATTCATCATTTTCCGTTATGTTGTTATTTTCATTTGTTTCGTTTGTTTTCTTGATGTTTGCATTTTCTTCAGACATCTTAATGTGTCCTTTGGATTCTGCGTGATTATATATGTTCCATAAACCACCAATCATAGTTTTTTCACAAAATGAACAAAAAAATGAATGTATGTTATGTGGCACTTCGCGTAGCCATGGCTTAAATTGTTTAATATCTAACCATTGCTGTCGAAATTGGTTTTTTCTATGTTTCATTTTATTAGAACTTACATCATTATTTGATGATGTATTTTTTTTAACATTATTTTTGTGACATACAGAATTTGCATGTCTTAAAACGTTAGTTCTGCACGAAAAATCTTTATTACACACGATACAATGAAAAAGACTATCATCATTGGATACTTTGCGTATCCAAGATTTAAATCTATCATCACTAAGCCAAGTTTTTGAAAAGCCTCTTTTCGGTTTTGTTCTTAATTGTTCACACATTTCCATGTAAAATAAAAGATAGAAGCAAAAAATTACAGAACAGAAAGAATAAAAAATAAAAAAGGAAAAATATATATATACATATAAATTGTATATAAATGCCTAGGTAGTAAAATATCTATAGAATTCCTGCAGAACTGATTAATACAATTGAGAATATTGTTCAATTATTGATCTAAGTACGTTCACAAAAGAGCAATTTTAGATTAATTCTAAGTTAAAAGTAAATCTCAATTATCGCCTAATTCTACATCAATTCAATATTTGTAGGTCGGAATCGTTAAATCAATTGTAACTGCATAATAAATCAATGCAACATGAGATATAAATATCTCAATTCTGTATTAATTACAAGACAATTAAATGCAGAAATTGATTTTTTTAAATTATATATTTGCTTTTTATAATTGCCTGATCAAAATAATTATATGTTTTAAATTTATCTGTTCTTCCCCACCTTGGGTGAAATTACAAAGACCAATATTTTCAAATCAATTAGAAATAATATATACTTAATCTACAATATGCATATCTTATAAAACTTATAAATCTTATAAACTTCTTACAAACCTTCAAATAAAATTAATAATATTGGTTTTAAGAACTCTCTAGAATAATTCAAATAATCGAAGCAATCAGACAATTAAAAAAAAACAAATATTGTACTTAAATTTAACTAAAATACAACTCATACATCTTTATGATAAGAAAAAGATCGCTATAAACGATCACCTTTTATGTTGTGCACTTTTAAGTTAGAACTGTTAATGGAGTTCTTCTTTTCAAAATTGATTTTCATACCAATACATACAAGTCTGATTCTTTCATTCTGCAGTCCAACCATTCGACATCGTGGTCTGCCTGTTTATCTTTCTTGAGTGAACATTGTACAAGATAATCGGGTGTTACTATAATAACATTCCTCTTCAAATTGACGAAACAGTCCTTTTTTTATGAAAATTTTGTTCTTGTGTATTACTAATTATCTTGGGCGAAGTATTAGGAATTTGTCCAATATCGTCTTGTAATGTATTAGGCTTCCACTCCTTCTAAAGACCAGTATTTCTATATTTTCTCTTCATTTTCTGTTTAACACTGTTGTCACACAATTTTGAAGTTTCCGTTCATTTAGAGTTGAATGATATACATTTCTGACAGGGCTTCTGCAACAAAAAGAAAGCTTTATTTCTTAAAGAAACCATGTTAAGCAAATTTTGACAAACAATGTTAGGACTCTGTCAAATAGTAATATTATATCTTACCATAAAATATCTCACATAATTTTGTGTAATGTTAGGTGTCGTTCTAACATCTCCAACCATTTATTTGGACCAAGCTAGATCCATACAGAAATTATGATATCGCCAATGTCACTTTTTACTTCCATGTGTTTCCGTTGGATTGAATGTACTTTGAGGCAGTGATGTCATTTCGAGTCTCGAGCAACATGAGCAACCTTGGCAGTGGGGGCACGCATACAAGCGAGAATCATTACGTCATGCATCCGTGTGCGTTCGGTTTATAGAAGAGAGCAGACATATGGCCGGAGCACAGACTTTTGCATAAAGCATAACGCATAAGCATAAGGAAATTGATTGGTCCATTTCCTTATGCATTTGCTTATGCTTATACACTCACCCGAAAAAAAAGCGGTACACTGAAAATGTGGGAAAAATTCATCAAATTTCAACTGACGATAACTTCGTAAATAATAAAGATAGAAAGTTCTATAAAATATGGAAATGAAGCTAAAAATCTTTACTTTAAGAATCAATTTATTTCAATGTTGCAAAATAAATTTATTGAAAATGGCGGATGACAAAGCGCGAGCATGCAAAATTGAAAAATAATGGTTCGAGTTTGCGACGGTGCACGGTATAAACAAAAAATTGTAGCTTATTGGGATCAAAAGCGTACGAAAGTACAGAGTCTCCTCTTTAAAATGCTTTTTTATGCATCTCGATACGATGATTTTTCGCCGAGAGATTCGCATTTGAAGAAAAAGGCAGATTCTTACTTCTAGGCCTCTCACTTACAGTACAGTCTGCAAATCGTTCTCCAACGCGACGGTATACTCGTTCTCGTCCGTCTGAAGAATACAGACAAAAACGAGATTCGTCGCTAAAAAGAACGGTACTCCATTCTGCATATGTCCAGCCTGCATGCTCGACAGCAAAATTGAGTCGAGTTACGCGATGGCGACGCATAAGCGAAGGTACATTTGCTGGCCTGCGCGGAAAAAGACCGTGTTCCGCTAATCTATTTCGAATAGTGTCAACGGATACATTACATTCGCGGACATCTCTTAAATGTTTCGAATTTGAACAGCCGTTCGATGTCTGTACTCTTAATGATTTAAACATAATCGGTCATCGTTTTCATTCGTACAACGAGGACGTCCCGAACCAGGTCTTCTTTGGACAGAATTAGTCTCCAAGTACCTAGCATAAGCACGTTGCACGGTTGACACTGATAAATCAAGTGCCTCAGCAACGTACCTTCGACTTCTCCCATCTTCAATTAACGCTACAACTTAAACAGCTTTTTCAGGACTTATCGTCGCCATAATTGACCAATAATTTCAATGCGAAAAGATTAATTATTGTTTACTTTGACGAAGTCGTACGAATAAGTAACGCGTCTCGAAAGAAAAAGATCAAGAGAAATCAAGCACTCTTCTCGCAATGTGCGGTCGAGCATAAACAAAAAGTCAGGGCGGAGAAATCACAAAAGATCTGCAGACATCTCCTTCGGATGCAAAACAATTGATTGAAAAATAATGGTTCGAGTTTGCGACGGTGCACGGTATAAACAAAAAATTGTAGCTTATTGGGATCAAAAGCGTACGAAAGTACAGAGTCTCCTCTTTAAAATGCTCGCATAACTTCTTATAGCATACATTATACGAAGTTATACGAAAATAGCTTTTTGATTAAGTTCATATGTATTATAT